GAGATACCATCTCACACCAGTTAGAATGGCAATCATTAAAAAGTCAGGAAACAACAGGTTCTGGAGAGGATGTAGAGAAATAGAAACTTTTACACTGTTGGTGGGAACATAAACCAGTTCAACCATTGTGGAAGACAGTGTGGTGATTCCTTAAGGATCTAGAACTAGAAATACCATTTGACCTAGCAATCCCATTACTGGGTAAATACCCAGAGGATTATAAATCATTCTAGTATAAAGACACATGAGCACGTATGTTTATTGCAGCACTATTCACAATAGCAAAGACTTGGAACCAACCCAAATGTCCATCAATGACAGACTGGATTAAGAAAATGTGACACCTATACACCATGGAATACTATACAGCCATAAAAAAGGATGAGTTCATGTCCTTTGTAGTGACATGGATGAAGTTGGAAACCATCATTCTCAGCAAACTATTACAAGGACAGAAAATCTAACACTGCATGTTGTCACTCATAGGTAGGAATTGAAAAATTAGAACACTTGGACACAGGGTGGGGAACATCACCCGCCAGGGCTTGTCATGGGGTGAGACAATGGGAGAGAGCATTAGGAGAAATACCTAATGTAAGTGACAAGTTAATGGGTGCAGCAAACAAACATGGCACATGCATACCTATGTAACAAACCTGCACATTGTGCACATGTACCCTAGAACTTAACATATAATTTAAAATAAAAATTAAAATTAAAAAAAGAAGCTGAGCTGTAATTGTCTTTCAAACTAAATGCGAATTTTATTTTAGTCAATTCTGTGTTGGCAATCTGATTTTTAAAGTTCAAAAGTGTTCTTGTTTTATTTGAAAGGCATTTATAGAACTTCCCTGCTTCTCTGAAAATGCAACCCTCCTCCTGTCACTTGGCTTAATGCTCCACACATGTTTTCTCACTTAAACTTTGCCTCATTTGGCTGTGTGTGTGTGTGTGTGTGTGTGTGTTAAATGCAGCCTTTGAAACCATCTCTAATGGAAAAATGCAGCTGTGAGCAAGATTTCCTAAAATGTACATGGAATTAATTTTCCAGGCATTTCATTCAAGGGCTCTGATGTATCTGAGGGAGAGATTTTGCCAGAAGGAGTTTTAATGTAACCGAATGAAAGAGAGAAACAGCCAGAACAAAAGGTTAGGGAAGTAAGCAGAGCCCTAATGCACAAAGAAGAGAAGAAACGGCAAGGAGGAAAAAAAGAAGAGGAAGCAAAGAAATGAATATTAAAGATGAGCAAAAATAAGAAAAAATAAAAACATTCTATGGGAAGGAAGAAGAAAAAGGAAAAAGAGTGGAAGTGAGAGTTGGAGGAATGAAGAATCTTGCTAGAGAGAAAAAAAAGTTATTTCCTAGTAGTTTCTACTAGGACATTTGCTTAAACAGATCAATATCTCAGAGTCTGCCACTTAAAACTGTATTTTACATCAGATCAGTGAATTTTATGGTCTATAAATATAAACAAATTTCAGTTTAAAAAGCATATTTAAAACTATTTTAAGTATCACTGTTGAAAATTTTTTATAAACAACTTCCCCTGGCCACATATTGTGTTTTTATAGACACTATAAAGTTAAAACCTGAAACTATGATGTTTGAACTTCCTAATGCACAGCTGCTGAGCTTTTCATGCCCATGGGATTATAAAAATATAGAATTGTGTGGTTGACTTTAGACTATGAAGACATATTTTGTCTATTCTTTATATGTCAATTTTTTGCCTCCTAAGTTCTCAAGATAGGTGAAAAATGTCTGAAAATCAAATGTATTTTTAATTGCATATAGGGGTTTGATTATGTATAATCCAGGATTGCTCCCAGGGAGAACATAAACTTCTAATGTATGTGTAACATATATTCCACATTATAAAATATTAATTAATGTAATACAAAGAAATTAATAATTTGTAACTATGTGGAGCTACAGGGTAACCCAACCTCTCTGGCTGTCCTTAACATTTTTTCCTTTATTTCAAACCTTGGTGAACTTGACAATTATGTGTCTTGGGATTGATCTTCTCGAGGAGTATCTTTGCGGTGTTCTGTGTATTTCCCAAATTTGAATGTTGGCCTGCCTTGCTAGGTTGGGGAAGTTCTCCTGGATAATATCCTGAAGAGTGTTTTCCAACTTGGTTCCATTCTCCTCATCACTTTCAGGTACACCAATCAAATGTAGATTTGGTCTTTTCACAGTCCCATATTTCTTGGAGGCTTTGTTTGTTTTTTTTTACTCTTTTTTCTCTAAACTTCTCTTCTCACTTCATTTCATTAATTTGATCTTCAATCACTGATACTCTTTCTTCCACTTGATTGAATCGGCTCCTGAAGCTTGTGCATGCATCATGTAGTTCTCATGCCATAGTTTTCAGCTCCATCAAGTCATTTAAGGTCTTCTCTACACTTTTATTCTAGTTAGCCATTCGTCTAATCTTTTTTCAAGGTTTTTGGCTTCCTTGCGATGAGTTCAAACATCCTCCTTTAGCTCGAAGAAATTTGTTATTACTGACCTTCTGAAGCCTACTTCTGTCAACTCATCAAAGTCATTCTCTGCCCAGCTTTGTTCCATTGCTGACAAGGAGCTGTGGTCCTTTGGAGGAGAAGAGGCACTCTGGTTTTTATAATTATCAACTTTTCTGCTCTGGTTTGTCCCTATCTACATGGTTTTATCTACTTTTGGTCTTTGATGTTGGTGACCTACAGATGGGGTTTTGGAGTGGATGTCCTTTTTGTTGATGTTGATGCTATTCCTTTCTGTTTGTTAGATTCCTTCTAACAGGTCCCTCAGCTGCAGGGCTGCTAGAGTTTGCTGGAGGTCCACTCCAGACCCCGTTTGCCTGAGTATCACCAGTTGAGGCTGTAGAACAGCAAATATTGCAGAACAGCAAATATTGCTGCCTGATCCTTCCTCTGGAAGCTTCAGTCCCAGAGGGGCTCCTGCCTGTATAAGGTGTCAGTCGGCCCCCACTGGGAGGCATCTCCAAGTTAGGCTACACAGGGGTCAGCGACCCACTTGAGGAGGCAGCCTGTCCACTCTCAGAGTTCAAACACCATGCTGGGAGAACCACTGTTGTCTTCAGAGCTGTCAGACAGGAATGTTTAAGTCTGCAGAAGTTTCTGCTGCCTTTTGTTCAGCTATGCCCTGCCCCTAGAGGTGGAATCTACAGAGGCAGCAGGCCTTGCTGAACTGCGGTGGGCTCTGCCCAGTTCAAGCTTCCCAAGCTGCTTTATTTACCTACTCAAGCCTCAGGAATGGCAGATGCACCTCCCCCTGCCTGCTGCCTCGCAGGTCGATCTCAGACTGCCACACTAACAGTGAGCAAGGCTCCGTGTGTGTGGGACCCACCAAGCCAGGCACAGGATATAATCTCCTGGTGTGCCATTTGCTAAGACCATTGGAAAAGCACAGTATTTTGGTAAGAATGTCCCGCTTTTCCAGGTACAGTCTGTCACGGCTTCCTTTGGCTAGGAAAGGGAAATCCCTTGACTCCTTGTGCTTCCTGGGTGAGACAATGCCCCACCTTACTTCAGTTCGCCCTCCATGGGCTGCACCCACTGTCCAACTACTCCCAGTGAGATGAAACAGGTACCTCAGTTGGAAATGCAGAAATCACCTGTCTTCTGCCTCAATCATGCTGGGAGCTGCAGACTGGAGCTGTTCCTATTTGGCCATCTTGGAAGGGAATCTACAGCTCAGCTTCTTAAGTGACTGGTAAGTAGAAACCATGTATGTAAAAATAAATTGAAATGTGAATGATAACAAAAGGAGTGGAGATAGAGATAAAGAAAGTGGGGGTGAGGGGAGAAAGAGAGAAACTCAAGTAAAAGCATTCCATCTATCACTATTATTATTGACTATTTGATCATAATAATGCTCTTGAAATCATAGTCTACTAAAAAACCTGCTGTTTATCAAACTTCCACTAATTTAACTCATTAATTTATGATATTGCCTATGATTAACATATATTTTCTGTTTCCCCATTTGGGACAATGATCTTTTTCTACTGATATTTTTTCAAATATATCAAACATATAAGTAATATAAAATTAATATCAGCAAATGATTAAATACTATCTAATCTTTAATAAATGTTTCAGTACACAGATTTCCCTGAAATCTCTACAACCCTTTGGTGTAGGTCGTGGAACATGTGTAAGTATCAGCCTTTTCTCTTCTTATCTACTATACGTGCTTGAGAAGAAATAATACAATAACATTTTTAGAATAAAGAAATAATAACATTTCTCTACAGCCTCCCAAGTTTCAGAAGACCTTTTACACATGTTCTTATTTGATAGAATTGTCTATTTTTAGGGGAGTAAAAGGGACTTTTCTGTTGTCTCATAGCTTAGAAAGTTTAGATTAGGAAGGAAAAAAGCATAAAAAGTATAAAAGTGTATGTGGGCTGAGGAGTAGAAGGGTAGATTTGGGGAGAATAGTTTGTATACCATACAGATAAGAAATAGTTTAGGCTGGGTGTGGTGACCCACGCCTGTAATCCCAGCACTTTGGGAGGCTGAGGCGGGCAGATCATGAGGTCAGGAGTTCAAGACAAGCCTGACCAACATGGTGAAACCCCATCTCTACTAAAAATGCAAAAATTAGCTGGGTGTAGTGGCATGTGCTTGCAATCCCTGCTACTCAGGAGGCTGAAGCAGGAAAATCACTTGTACCTGCGAGACAGAGGTCACAGTGAGCTGAGATGGTGCCACTGCACTCCACCCTGAGTGACAGAGCAAGACTCTGTCTCAAAAAAAAAAAAAAAAAAAAAAAAAGAAAAATGAAAGGAGTTGTTAGTTCCTTTGTTATTGAGTCAGTATTCATTTTGGCTTTATATAGATAAATATTTACTGTAATTCTCAGATTCAAAAGTCAACTGAAAAGGAATTGATGGCGGCCAGGGCAGTGCGGCTGCGGAGCCTAGGCCGGGGGCGGCGCGCAGGGCGTGGGGCGCACGGAGAGGGAGAGGGGTCGACCCAACACAGGGTCCAGGAGCTCTAGGGCCCTAGCAGCGCTGCCCGCCGCCATGTGTCCGTGGGAACTACCGCGCGGTCCCTCCGCCGCCTCTGAGCTGCTCGTGGGCCGGCAGGGTGGGCCTGGGGCGGGGACTGACTGGCATTTTTTACCATCTACAGAAACTTACTGTAATTCATTTTTCCTTACTCCAGTAGTAAGAATTACACCAAATTGAAAAGATATGAATGAGGATCCTAAAAAAAGAAAAAGGAAGACTCAACACCTTTCTCGTTATTCAGATTCCTCTGGAATAAGCAGAATTGCAGATGGATTCAATGGAATTTTCTCTGATCATCGTTACAGTGTCTGTTCTTTGAGACAGCCAGATTTAAAATATTTTGACAACAAAGATGATGATTCTGATGCCAAGACATCAAATGACTTGCCAAAATTTGCAGATGGAATCAAGGCCAGAAACAGAAATCAAAACTACCTGGTTCCCAGTCCTGCACTTAGAATTCTAGACCACACTGCCTTTTCTACAGAAAAATCTGCTGATATTGAAATTTGTGATGAAGAGTGTGACTCACCTGAATCAGTCAACCAGCAAACCCAAGAGGAGAGTCCTATAGAAGTTCACACTACTGAAGATGTTCCAATTGCTGTAGAAGTGCATGCGATTTCTGAGGATTATGATATAGAGACAGAAAACAATTCCTCTGAGAGTCTCCAAGATCAAACTGATGAAGAACCACCAGCTAAACTTTGTAAAATTCTTGACAAGAGCCAAGTTTGAATGTGACTGCCCAGCAGAAATGGCTTTTACTGAGAGCTAATAGCAGTGGCCTCTATAAATGTGAACTTTGTGAGTTTAACAGCAAATATTTTTCTGACTTAAAGCAGCATATGATCCTGAAGCATAAATGTACTGATTCAAATGTGTGTCAAGTATGCAAGGAAAGTTTCTCTACCAATATGCTTCTGATAGAACATGCCAAACTACATGAAGAGGATCCCTACATTTGTAAATACTGTGATTATAAGACAGTAATTTTTGAGAACCTCAGTCACATTGCAAACTCCCATATTAGTGATCACCTCTATTGGTGTGAACAGTGTGATGTACAGTTCTCCTCAAGCAGTGAACTCTACCTACATTTCCAGGAGCACAGCTGTGATGAACAGTACTTGTGTCAGTTCTGTGAACATGAAACTGATGATCCAGAAGATTTGCATAGCCATGTGGTAAATGAGCATGCATGTAAATTAATAAAGTGGTAAGTATAACAATGGAGAACATGGACAGTGTAGCCTCTTAAGCAAAATTACCTTTGACAAATGTAAAAACTTCTTTGTATGGCAAGTATGTGGTTTTCGGAGTAGATGTCATACAAATGTTAATGGGCATGTTGCTATTGAACATACTAAAATTTTTCCTGTTTGTGATGACTGTGGGAAAGGCTTTTCAAGTATGCTAGAATATTGCAAGCATTTAAATTCACATTTATCTGAAGGGATTTATTTATGTCAATATTGTGAATATTCAACAGGACAAATTGAAGATCTTAAAATTCATCTAGATTTCAAGCATTCAGCTCACTTATCTCATAAATGTAGTGACTGCTTGATGAGGTTTAGAAATAAAAGAGAATTAATAAGTCACCTTCCAGTCCATGAGACAACTTGATTATTCTCTTTAACTTACAGAATGTTAGTTTAAAATAATAAATTTAGCCTTTTTTTGGAGATGATTAAATGGATGATTGTAAACACAACTTATGAAATTTGCCTTTAACAAGTAACTTTTGTAAATTATAAAATCTTTTTGGCATTGCTCCATTTTCAGTATATAAATATATCTTTAATGTGGTATTTTCAATTGCGTGATAGTCTGTAGTTTTAACCATTCTTGGTGACTGTCATCCTGTTTCTTGCATGTGCTCGATTTCATGAATTGAAAAGAAACAAATGTATTGAAATGAGCTGCAGTTTTCCTTCCTTAACCATGGGTGCTAGTAACTTTTTCTTTTTAAAACTCAAGACAAGATTAGTTTTTTTGGTGTATGAAGTCATGAAATTATTATATGACCAGAACTAAAATGCAATATACAATTAAATCCATGGATACTCCCATTAATAAGAAATAACACTAGGAGGCCACTATTATCACAGGAAGAAAAGATTTGGTTTTCATGGCAGTCTGTTTTTTTAAAAAAAATTTTTGAGCCCCTATCTATTGTTAAATATTTTAAGATGGGATGAGGGAGGAACTAATTAATAAGGGCTTACACAATAATAAATAACCGTATCATAACTCAAAAAAAAGAGAAAAGGAATTGATGTGAAAGAATAACTTGATTTCCAAGAGTTTCTGCTAATTACAAAGAAGACACTAATGAGGAAGTAACAGGGAAAGATATAAATATCTAGTTTATACCTTCATGACCAGTTTGCTTTTCTGCTAACTTAGGAAGATCAGATATGAAATATGACCTTTGTTTAGAGAAACCTCTCACTCTACCACCTCCATGTTAATCAGTTTGACTTAAAAGACTGAGTTAAAAGCTTAACTGAGATACCTTCTCTTCAATAACTTATGAACTCTCTCCAATAACTGATGGTCAAGAGCTTTTTTCCAATCCTTTTCTGAAATGTCTGAGGGACTGGAGCAGTTTGGAAAATTTTCAAGTTGCAAAAAATGTGGTAGCTATTTATCGAATGGCTCTAAAATTCATTGTCCAAGCCAGAACACTCTTGATAGTGAAGGGGGCTGCTGAGTGATAGAGCACCATGAGGAGATGAACTTCCCAGTAGGCAAATGGTTGGAAGCATCCAAAAGCAAAGAATATTTCTATCAAATAACAACAACAATACACATAAAATCTATGTAGAATGAATAACAAGTAATAGCTGTTGACTCTGTTGGGAGAAGACACGTAATTTAGATTTTTTTTAAAGTTTTAATGTGTTTTCATTTATTGAAGAGACTGCCCTTTTCCCAATGTTCTTGTCACATTTGTTGGAAATAAGTTGTCTGTAAATGCATGGATTTATTTCTGAGTTCTCTATTCTGTATGTCTTCAATAGTGCTGGGAAAACTGGATATCCATATGCAGAAAAAAAAACTAGACCCCACTCTCTCACTTATAAAAAAAATCAAATGTATTAAAGACTTAAGTGTAAGACTTGAAACTATAAAACTACTAGAAGAAAACATTGGAGAAATACTTCAGGTCACTGTCCTAGGCAAAGATTTCTTGAGTAAGAACTCAAAAGCACAAGCAACCAAAGCAGAAATTTAAAAAGCTTCTGCACAGCAAAAGGAAAAAATAAAGTAAAGAGATAAGCTACAGAATGGGAGAAAATATTTGCAAACTATTCATCTGACAAGAATAATAACCAGAATATTTGAGGAACTCAAACAAGAGCAGAAAAATGATCTGATTTTAAAAATAGGCGAAAGATCTGAATAGACATTTTTCAAAAGAAGACATGCAAATGACCAACAGGTATAAGAAAAAATGCTCAACATCACTAATCATTAGTAATATGCAAATAAAAATTATAACAAGATATCTCCTCACCACAATTAAAATAGCTACTATCAAGTAAACAAACAAACAAAAAAATAAACCACCAAAATTTGGCAAAAATATATAGAAAGGGGAATGTTCATCAATGTTGATGAAAATGTAAATTAGTACAGCCACTTTGGAAAACAGTATGGAGGTTCCTCAGAAAACTAAAAATCGGACTACTATATGATCCAGAAATTCTCCTGCTGGGACTTATTCCAAAGAAAAGCAGTATATTGAAGAGATTTCTGCACTCCCATGTTTATTGCAGCACTATTTATGAGAGCCAAGACATGCAATTAACCTAAGTGTCCATCAGTGGATATATGAATAAAGAAAATAAATATGGCATATGTACACAATGAAATATTATTGAGCCATAAAAAAGAATTAAGTCCTGATACTTACAACAGCATGAATGGAAGTGGAAGACATTTTATTGAGTAAAATAAGCCAGTCACAGACAATGATTATGTTTGCACTCATATGTTGGAGCTAAAAACAAGATCTCATAGAGGTAGTGAGTCGAATGGTCATTACCAGAGGCTGGGAAGAGTAGTGGAGAGAAAGAGATGAAGAGAGTTGGTTAATGGGTACAAAACCACAATTAGGTAGAGGAAATAAGATCCAGTGTTCAATAGCACAACTATAGTAAACAATAATTTATTGTATATTTCAAAATAGCCAAAAGAAGATTCGGAATGTTTCCAACACAAAGCAATGATAAATGTGTGAGGTGATGGATATCCCAATCACCCAGATTTGGTAATTACACATTGTATGCTTGTTTCAAAATATCACATGTACCCCATGGTATGTACAACTATTATGTACCCATAAAATCAAAAATAAAAATATTAAAAATATTTTTCAAGTAATATATGGTCCAAAAAAAACAAAAAACAAAAAACCAAATAAAAACTCAATACTCTTAGCTCTTCATGCTTTGCCTCATCACACGGGCAAGCTCTTTAGAAACATTTAGTGGATAATGTTTCTCTCAATGCTTCTAACTGATAAATGCATCATGGTTTGTATAGTTTGATGTTATCTATGGCCTTTAATCAGAGAAGTTGAGGAATTTTCATTCTCTCATATGCTTTCCCTATTCTCCATACATGATTTTCATATTTTGCTAATTAAAATTTTAGTCTCCTTTATGTACTTTGCATATTACCATATGTATTTATAAGTTCATTTTAAAGTCTCAATCAGATTCAAGTTTGACTTTTTTAAAATAGAAAGATTACTTTGTAGGTACTTCCACCAGGAAGTACATAATTCCGGTTGGCTCTCTTTTTGGTATGTTAGAAACCATTAATTCATAAAAGATTGCAAAATGGTAATATTCTAATTCTCTCATTTCTTCATTTATTAGCTCAAGCACATTTCTAAAGATAAACTTACCCTCATAAATTGTTTTGTTTTATTTTTCTAAGGTATAGTTTGAATAGAAAATTCAAGATAAATGCTAATTATTTCCTTGCATTTGCCAACCTTCAATTTAGTGAGTTGATTTCCTTTTTTCCTTCAAAGGTAATCAATAAAGTATCTCATGATAGCATCACAAATGCATAGACTTAATTGTCTTTGATGTATCTCAATTATGTTCAATAATGCCATGGGCTGCAATCAGCAAATTCAAACTCTGAGAAACTTTTATTTAGAGTTTCACAAAATAGCTTTTAACTTCCATTTTAGGTTCAGCAGTACATGTGCAATTTTGTTCTATAGGTAAACTGCATGTCATAGGGGTTTTGTTTACAAATCATTTCATCACCCAGGTAATAAGCATAGTACCCAATAGGTATTTTTTCTGAACCTTTTCCTTCTCTCACACTCCATCCTCAAATAGGTGCCAGTGTCTGTTATTCCCTTCTTTGTGTTCATATGTTCTCATTGTTTAGCTCCACCTATAAGTGAGAATCTGAAGTACTTGGTTTTCTGTTCCTGCGTTAGTTTGCTAAGGTTAATGGCCCCCAGCTCCATCCATGTTCCTGCAAAGGGCATAATCTCACTCTTTTTTTTTTTTTTTTTTTTTTTTGAGACGGAGAATCTCATTCTTTTTTATGGCTGCATAGTATTCTGTGGTGTATATGTATCACATTTTCTTTATCCAGTCTACTGTTGATGGGCATTTAGGATGATTCCATGTCTTTGCTATTGTGAATGGTACTGTGATGAACATATATGTTCATGTGTCTTTATAATAGAATGATTTATATTCCTTTGGGTATTATATTAGTCTGTTTTCACATTGCTATAAAGAAATACAAGCGACTGGATAATTTATCAAGGAGAGAGTTTTAATTGACTCAAAGTTCCACATAGCTGGGGAGGCCTCAGGAAACTTACAATCATGGTGGAAGGTGAAGTGGAAGCAAGCACCTTCCTCACATGGTGGCAGGAGAGAGAAGTACAAGCAGGGGAAATGTCAGATGCTTACAAAACCATCAAATCTCATGAGAATTCACTCACTCACTATCATGAGAACAGCGTGGGGTAAACCACCCCCATGATCCATTCGCCTTTCTCCCTCAACACTTGGGGATTACAATTCAAAATGAGATTTGGGTGGGGACGCAGAGCTAAACCGTATCAGGCATGTACCCAATAATAAGATTTCTGGGTTGAATGGTAATTCTGTTTTAAGTTATTTGAGGAATTGCTACACTGCTTTCCACAAGGGCTGAACTAATTTACACTCCCACCAGCAGTGTATAAGTGTTTCTCAACAACCTCACCAGCATCAGTTACTTTCTGACCTTTTAGTAATAGCCACTCTGACTGGTGTGCAATGGTATCTCTTTGTGGTTTTCATTTGCATTTCTCTAATGATGAGTAATGTTGAGAATTTTTTCATGTGCTTGTTTGCTATATTATGTCTTCTTTTGAAAAGTGTCTGCTTATGTCCCTTGCCTACTTTTTAATAGGGCTGATTGATTTTTGCTTGTAAATTTGTTTAAGTTCCTTAAATATTCTGGGTATTAGACCTTTGTCAGCTGCATGTTTGCAAATATTTTCTCCCATTCTGTAGGATGTCTTTTTACTATGTTGAAGTTTCTTTTGCTGTACAGAAGCTCTTCAGTTTAATTGGATCCCATTTGTCAATTTTTTGTTTTGTTGCGATCCTTTTTGGTGTCTTCATCATGAAATCTTTGCCAAGTCCTATGTCCAGAATAATATTTCCTAGGTTATTTGCCAGGGTTTTTTTTTTTAAATGGTTTTAGGTTTCATATTTAAGCCTTTAATCCATCTTGAGCTGATTTTTGTTTGTGGTTTAAGGTAGAGGTCCAGTTTCAATCTTCTGCATATGGTTAGCCAGTTATCCCAGCACCATTTATTAAATAAGGAGTCCTTTCCTCATTGCTTGTTTTTGTCAGCTTTGTTGAATATTAGATAGTAGTTATATTTGTACAGCATTATTTCTGGGCTCTATATTCTATTCCATCAGTCTATGTGTCTGGTTTTGTACCAGTACCACGCTGCTTGGTTCCTGCAGCCCTGCAGTATTACTTGAAGTTGGGTAACGTGATGCCTCCAGCTTTGTTCTTTTTGTTTAAAATTGCCTTGGCTATTGGGGCTCTTTTTTGGTTCCATGTAAATTTTAAAATAGTTGTTCCTAATTCCGTGAAGAATGTGAGTGGTAGTTTGACAGAAATAATACTGACTATGTTAACTGCTTTGGGTAATATGGCCATTTTAATGATACTGATTCTTCCTATCCATGAGCATGAATGTTT